GCCCACTCCACTCCACTCCAGCTGCCAAGCCGGACGCCCCTCTAGCTGGGTGTCACCACCACCACCACCACCACTACGACACCACCATCTCGCTTATCCTCCAGAGGCCGCACTCCCCCCCACCCCTCCCCTCCCGCAAAGTGGGTCACCGCTGAGTTCCCTCCCTTTTTCCCGCCCCCATGAAAACACACACCATACATACATACACACATACACACATACACTCAGGGCATCAACATGTCCGATCCGAAGAAGCACCCGGAGCCGCAACAGCCTGCACCGCTGCATCATGCCAAGACGGCTTGAGGGCGTGGAGGAGGAGGAGGAAGAGGAGGAGGGGGAGGCACTCCCACCACCACCACCACCACCACCACCGCCACCACACCGCCACCACACCGCCACAACGGCACAGGGTCAGGTGCTGGACCGACTAAGACTCAGACCCCTCACCCTTCACCCCTCACCGCCACCTCTGGTCCGGGCCCTCAACCCCCCGCCCTTGCCGACCCGCATCCCACCTGGCCACCGCCCGCCCCGCATCGGGCTCTCGTGCTACGTGCCAGCGCGCTGAAAGAGCTGCGGGGTGGGGGGGGGGTGAATCGGAAGGGTAGATCAGAAAGCAGCCGCACCACAGAGACTGTATTTGCGTTCCAAGGAACTCAGCGGCGACATGGAATGGCTGCCGATGGTAACTTGCTTCACTTGCGTATAATATATATACTGTTATATGTACATAGCTTGTGCGTATGTATGTTAGGTGAGCCTGTATGGATCTGGTTCGCCAGGTCTTCGTGACCTTTGGGTGTGTGCACGAGCGGGGGGCGACGCTTAGGGGGTTGTAATGTGTTGTTGTGTGCTGGGATGGGTGCGTGTGATCCTCGGGGGGTGGGGTGGGTGGGGTTAGCTGCCCGGAAGGGGCAGCACGCCGGGGGGATGGTCGTGGCGACATGGTCGCAGCGCCACCATCACCATCACCATCACATTAATCATCATCATCACCACCACCATCACAACCGCCGCCGCCAGCTCCATCACCACCACCACCATTATTATTATTATTATTATCATCCGCCGCCGGGGGAGGGGGGAGGGGACCCTAAAACTGCGCACGTCACCGGTATGGTTGGTGGGAGGTTGACTGGGTTTAGGTTATGAGCCCCGGGGCGCTCCGCCGCCCCGCTGTCAGTAGCCCCTGCCCTCCTCCGGCACTCTGAGGTGGCCCTCCGGCCGGGGAGAGCTCCTGGTGTGACACCTGAATAAAGGAGCTGTCGAGGAGCTTGTAGCGGGTAGCGGTAGAGACCGGGGAGGGGGATTCATTGTTGCGGTGCGACACAGAGGTTGTGTTGGCGGTGTTCTGTTGTCCCCAACGTAGGTTGTGTTTTTTTCAGTTGTTCAGGAGTGAACATTGCCCGACTGCTGCTCTTGCTACTGCTACTGCTAGTCCTGTTGTTGATGCTGCTACTGCTGCGGAGCGAGCCAATGGAATATACCAACGACGTGTATTGTACATTTCGCGACATTTACGGTACAAACCTGACTCTGTATGGTTTGGGTGGTGGTGGAGGGGCTTTGACCTGCCGTACCGGGGTCGTACAGCACATCCGCCACTACATCGCTGCTTCACTTTCGCATTTACGGACATCCACATCCCAACATCCGGTGTCTTTTCCGTTTTATTAGTTTCTGGACCCCACCTGTGGGACGACGGTTTGGCTTTTGACCTGACCGGACTGACGTGTGACGTGACTTTTAGGGCTTTACTATCTCACCCGGCTTGGCACGGCCTGGCAGAGGATAGCGCGCTGAACTGGAAAATTGCGCGATAGACTATTTTATTTATGGTGGGGGAAGAGGATACCGGGATGGCTTGGTGTTGATGACGCTGGAACGTGTGGCCATGGTGGTATGGCGACGCCTCCCTGGTGTGGTGGCGCAGTCCGCCAGGAGTCGCTGTTTCTGCCGCCTGCAGGTTCGCTTGCGCGACACACCCTACGGCTCCCGCTTAAATCTTTCCTCGTGGTTGGAGGTTTGCGGGTAATCAAAATGTATGTTGTTGCACCACCTGCAAAGCTAACGGAGCGTTGCCGTCACTGTCATCACCAAGCTATGCCAGGTACCGGCAACTCCTCCGGTTTAGACCTCTCGGCTTTTGCAGCTCTACTACTCAGCTCTGTAGCAGGCCAAGTCCAGGCTGGGAATGTGGACATCCCCCTATCTACAAGAGACAACCGGGTGACCAAGAACCCGCTGGCTTGCAGTAGTGGCAAGTCGCTTAGGTTCGGCAGCAGAGGCGGGTGGAGTGGGTGTTCAGAGCCGCACGTCCTGCGTTTTGCTTTGCTTCATCACTTTTGCAATAATGCCCTAACGCATTCAGAAGTGAGGTGTGGTGAGTCGGCTGGGCTCCGACCAGAGAGCGCGTCCAAGAGGTCCAACTCCAAACATAAAAGAAGCTTAACAAGCCGGGGCATGTGGTTGTTGAGGGCTCTCTGCAAGCTCCTCCCCGCGGTACGGTGTAAAGGGAACGTCAAAGGCAGCAAGTCAGTTTTCCAGTCCACAAAAATGATGATACATGAAGACATTTCGCCCCCTTCCCGCTTTTTGAAGCAGAACGGTCCAATCGAACGATAACAACCATGTTGCTTCTTGTTCCCGAAGCAACCCACGCACTATGTCACACGCTATGAACCACATCACATATCTGTCATTCTCCACCCTAGCGCCCTTTCCCACTCCCCCTCATCACACACCGTTCTTGCCAACGTCTAGGCTACGCTCTACACCATCCTTTCTCCGCCTGTGTCCCTAAAAGCTGTCCCGACAACACCGACACCTGACCCCACAGACTTGGAGCCTAACCCACAAACTGAGCGCTCATTCAGCACTGCCGGGGCATAGTGGGGGCACCGCAAACCTGTGAAATCGTCAAAACCTTGTAGTATTGTGCCCCCCGCTTCATTTCTTTATATCGTACACCGCTGGGCCTGATAGATTTTTCTGATACTTTGCAACACGACCTCCCCTCCCCGTCGAGTCGAGAGTCGAGTCCTGCTGGACCTCCGTGACCAGAGATGGATCCTTCACGTGGATCCTTTTGCTCTCGCCCCTTCGCTGCTGGGCACACCACCTGCTTGCCTGACCCACCCCCGCTTTTTAGGCCAACATTGCCTCTCCTCCTTTTCTCCGCAGGAGCAGCACGGAAAAAGGTATAGAAGTGGATGCGGATAGTCAACCCAATATCAATACACAGCGCCCATACGGCAACACAGCTGTTTACAAGCAGTGCATGGGTAGCTGTTTACAACCACGCATTCAAAACACCGCCAACAAAGCAGCTGGAGGAGTCAACACGACAGACACATCAGAACGCCGCACCACCTCGTTTCATTTGGTTTCATTTGGCACAACACACACACACTAGGAAATAGGAAAGCAGCGCCGGACTGGCTGTCCTGCAATAAGCACACGAGGAGCTCATGACACGTCGTACAAAACGGTACCCCCCCCCGTCCAGTCCCCCCCATCCGCCTCCACCGCCACCTCATTCGCTGCTCTCGCGTACACGTATTGTTATCTGCCGCCATTACCGTTGCTATCGGAAGCGATTCTCCCCCTCCGTCTCCTGGGGGTCTTCGCCGCTGACAGAAGGGAAAGGGAAAACGGCGCCATTACCAGAATTCCAATCCAGCAGACATAACCCAACGAATGAATTAGGCCTTGAGAAAACACAACCGCATGTCCGGGTGTGCAATCGTCTTTTTCATAAAGACTCTTTCTCCATTTATTCGTAGCTTTCTCGCGTAATATGCCCGATTACTAGAGACTGTCGAATTAACACTTTCAACCACGCCATGCCCCCCCCCACCCGTTAAACCTGTCTCCTGTAGAAAATGGACTGCGCCCTCTCGCGCGAGTTTCCGCCATTATCACCCATCAATATCCGTCATCGTTATTATCATCGTTACAACGTCGTCACCCATACTGTTACTACTAATATGTCACCACTACTATTACTACTACTACTACATTACGACTGTAGCTGCTACTACACTATCATCATGGACCCCCATGGCGAAGTCCGTTCCAACGCCCATCCTGGAACTGGCAGGCGCCAACGAAGCCAGCCAGCCCGCCGAGCCAGCCCGCCGAGCCAGCCAGTCGAGCCACCGAAGCGCAGGCAGGCCAGTCTTCAGACAGGTGGATCAGCACCCCCTCACTCCCTCTCTTCCATCAACACCGCACGAGCCGCAAACCTGGATGGCTCAGCGGCCATTTCCACGACCGCGGCGGAACAAGAAGCCCCCAGCCACGCCGCCGAGGAAGCGCAAGCCCACGCCCGCGCCTCCGACGACCGCCGCCAAGGGATTGAACCCGGCACCGTTGCTGCCGCCGCCGCCGCCGCCGTGATGGCTGCCCTCAGCGCTACCAGCAACCGCTGCGCCGGGTGATGTGGACACTGACCTCGCCCCCTGGGTACCGGTGCCGCCGCCCGCACCTCCGCTGCCCTCCCCACCCGCGGGCGCCCCGGCGGAGCGAGTCAGCGACGCAGAGCGCCGCTGTGCGCCGGAGCTTCCGGCCGGCCGTACGGCAGCGAGAGCAGCTGAGGCCGTGGTGGTGGATGCCATAGACGGCCCTCTACGCGGCGAAGCCACCACTACACGGCCCCGCCGGGCGACTCGAACCCTCGTCGTGCTCCGTACACCGGCGCCGTCACCCCCACCGTTACCATCACCAGCGCCCAAAGGAGCACCTGCAGGGACGGCAGTGTTGTTGGCCCCGGCACAAGGCACAGCCTGGAAACCCAGCACCCGATACACACCTCCGGCACACGCCGTGGTGGCGGCCGAAGGCACCACAGCCGCAGCTCCTGGGATTGCCGTACCTGCGTCGCTCGCCGGGCTTCCAGCGGCTGGCTGCGAGCCCAGTGGGTCCAATCCTGTGTCTGTTGGGCCTGAGGCGGGGTTGGCCGCTTCAGACTCCTCCTTCAGACTCGTCGCCGCACGGCTACTTGCGCTGCCGCCGCTGGCGCCGTCACCGTTGTCGTTGTCCCTTCTGGTGCGGTGCTGGTGCGCCAGAGTGGCGGCGTCCTGCTGCTGCAAGCGGCGAGCAACCTGGCGGCTAGGACCCTCGTCTGCAGCAGCGGCTGATGTGGCCCTCCGTCCTTCGCCACTGCGGCCGTCACCTCGGGCCGGAGCAGCAGAAGCGGCAACAGCGACAGCAGTGGTAGCAGCAGTAGCAGCAGCAGCGGGATCACTTGGCCGGCTCCGCTGCGTATCCGTCGATGCCCCGGAAGAGCCGGTTCCGGAGCTACTGCCACCGCCGCCGCCGCCGCCGGCGGCGGCAACAGCTGCGGCGGTGGCCGTGGTCGAGGCGGCAGCTGCCGCACGGGGCGTGTCTCGTACCAGTGCAACGGCTTGCCTCAGCCACCGGTCTGCCAGAGCCGCAACTCGCCTCATAAGGCCCGGATCCGGGGTTCCGAACGGCACTGTGTGCACCAAGCGTGTGGCAGCCTGTCAAGGGCCGAAAGGGGGGGGGAAAAGACGAACCACACACGAGTGAAGCTGCTGCCAGGGCAAGAGAGTAACAAACGTAGAACTGACCGAAAGGCGTCCGTGGCGACCGTGACCTCGGGATGACGAAGTGGAGAAGATGTCGGAAAAACTACCTACCTAAGCCGCCAGAACTAAAAAAGCGGAATAGTATTGCCACACGAACCACACACGAATGAAGCTGCCGAAAGGGGGGGACGCCGCGGGACATTCGCATGTTCTTTCCTTTTGCGATACGACATGTGAACGAAATGACTCCGAAACCAAACCAACGGCCCCGATACCGATATAACCCAACATACCAACACACATTTCCATGTCCACCTTCCTGGGGTGGAGGGAAGGGAGGCCCGGCGGGTGGACATACAGACCTAGGGCCATATAGTACGACGACCACAACGCGACCGCGCTGGGAAACCCGCGGCTTTCTCCCCCCCACACACACCCATCGACCCTTCCCTCCAATGAACTCGCTTGTTCGCGTCCTGGCGCCCACACCCACCATCATCGCATGCCGCTGCAAGCTCCTGAGCACCGCCTCATTGGGCCTGGGCCAGCCTGCTCGGTCCCGTGCCGCCAGCGTTCTCTCCAGCTGCCGCAGCACCGCCTCACTGCCCAAGTCAGGATTTGACAGGGCCGCGACCATATCAATGCCGTCGGACACATCCCCAGACATCAGCCGCCCGTCAGCTGTTGCTGTTGCTGCTGGCGATGGTTGTGGTTGCGGTTGTTGTGGTGGTGTTGCCGTTCCCGCTGCTGCTGTCGTCGCAGCCCTGGCTGTAGGTAATGGTTGTGCGGCGGAGAGTGGTGCTGCCATTGCGGAGGAGGAGGAGGAGGAGGCGGAGGCGGCAGCGGGCGGGCTGACGGCAGCTGCTGGTGAGAGCCGTGCTGGGGAGGTCCAGGTAGCCGCTGCTGCTGCTGCCGCTGCTGAATACCGCCCCGTGCTTGATGACGGCGCTGAGGGCGAAGAGGATGATCGCTGTTGTTCAGCAAGTGGTGGTGGTGGTGGTCGCGTCCGAACCGTTGCGCAGTTCGCAGCAGCAGTAGCCGCTGCTGGCGAGGAAGGAGCCTTGCTTGGCAAAGTTGTTTCACCTCCGCCGCCACCGTTGCTACTATTACTATTACTACTGCTGCTACTGCCGCGCGCAGGCACCGCGCAGCCCGTCGCAGCAGCAGCAGCAGCAGCAACACGGTCACGACCAGCTGCTGTTGCCGCTGCGCCCCTTTCCCGCTCGCCACCACCACCACCACCACCATCCCCATCCCCCGCCGCCCTGTAGGGGTTGCTAATCAGCATACCACAGTACTGCGCTGTACCCGCAATAGCCACTGACCATATCATGTTGGGTAGCATCTCAGGACGGAGCGTAGGAGGAGATATCGCCGCTGCGCGGGAGGTGCCTGTGCTGGCGGCATGGACACCGGTGCCACCGCTACCGCTGTTGGCGGTGCTTCTGCTCGCTTGCTGTTGCTGCTGGTGCTGGTGCTGTCGCCCTCGTGGTTGTAGAGCCCCAGTGGCCCCAGGTCTGGCGGCCGCGCCGCCGCCGGCCGCACCTGATGTACCCAAACCGCTACGGGGAGGGCGCTGTGGTGGTGGTTGCGGTGGTGCCGTCGCGGCAGTGGAGCTGCTGGCCGCAGTGGCGGCGGCGCCACCGCCGTTGTTGAAGAATCCACCACGTAAAGCTGACCGCGTGCCACCGCTGCCGCTGTCGCCACCGCCCGTACGGGGACCCGCAGCGACTCTCGTCCCGCTCGACACAGCGCCGTACAGGTTAAGCAGCTGGTTGTTGAGAAACCCGCCGCGCAGAGGCGTCGCTGTGGCGCTTGTGCCGTTGCCCTGATGCCGCGATGTTCCTGTGCCGCCGCCACCGCCGCCGCCACCAGCGGCACCCGTTCTTGCCTGTGACCCACGGGTCGCCGCCGCTGCTGCTGCTGCTGCTGCCGCCCTTTCCCCAAACAAGGGCAGCATTGCGGCATTGCCAAACATTGACAGCAACCCGGGTGGCGGCTGCGCCACCGCCGCCGGCCCTGCTGCCAGCGGCATCGACACCGGCGGCCGATTCGTGAGCTGTAGTGGTGCAAAACGAGTACGAAGCGGCTCCAGCACTGCCTCCGCCACCCGACGCTCCTCAGCACTCAGAACGCCTGCATCCGTCCCCGCCGTCTGTCCCGGGGCGTTCGGCATGAAAGCATTTAACAGCGGGAAGTTCGCCCCCGCTGCCGCCGCAGGGGCCCCCGGAATACCTCCTCTCTGTGTGGGGTGGTGGTGGTGGTGGTGGTGCGGCCGCTGCGGCCCGGGCAATCCTGGTGTCCCGTCGGCAGCAACAGCGGCGCCAGCGGCAGCAGCGCCCCTCGGGTGCCGCCACGGCGGCAACATGAGCTGCGGCGGCACCCAGTCAGGGGCACCGTCAGATCCGCCGCCGCCGCCGCCACCGCTAGACCGATCCCGTACCGGTGCCGGCCGCTCCTCCCGTGTCTGCGGCCCCCTACCGTCCGACGAGGATGCGGACTGTGGCTGAGGTCTGTGCGTTGAGGTCGCCGCCTGCTGCTGAGGTCGCCCGCCGCTGTAGTAGCTGCTAATGCCGCTGCCAGCGTGCCCTTCCCCGAGACGTGTACGGCACACTGGACACGTGTTTTGCTGAGGGGGGAATATATGAAAGGGACAGCCGGGGGGCGGCCGAGGAGAATGAGGGGCATGGTGAGCATAATGGATGGAACGTGTCTGCATGTATGTGTGTGCACGTATGTGTGTGTGCATGTATGGGTGTGCACGTATGTGTGTGTGCACGTATGGGTGTGCACGTATGGGTGACGCATGATGGCGGGAGACCGTATCGTCCGAGGGGACCGGGGAAGGGCTGGGTCGGTAGCATGGGTTCCTAGGGCGCGGTGAGGTGCTGCACACAGTGCGAGAGCGCATATTCACCCGGTGGTGGAATCACCGTGAATCCGTGCAAAGGAGGACACGGTGTATGTATGTATGATGTGTGAAACAGGGGGGTGTATCTTCGCCCGTGGCAGCTACCCTGCGAAACCCTGCCTTCCCCGGTATTTCGGGGCACCCTCATCCAGTCACCCTAGTCAACTTCTCAGTGGATCGCTCAGGTTCCGCACCCACCACCAGCATCCAACGGAATCTGCCGGATCGACGGCGGGCACAACTCCATTTCTGGTCGGCTCGCAGGTTAACTTTATCCCAGGTCACCACCGTCCATCAACTAGGGGCGCTATGCCTTCCACCATCGGAAGGACTTTTGACCCTAATGGGTATCGATCCCGGGATCTCCCGGGGGCAATGGTCGCGCCTTACCAGTAGTGCCAAACCCTATATATATGTATGTATGTTGTTACAGGGTGGTTAACTTCGCCAGCGGCCCCCTTTCCCGGGGCAGTCCCTGCTCTCCCCTGCTAGAGGGGCACCCTAATCCGTCACCCCATCCGACTTCAGAATGTATTCGTTGGGTTCGGCAACTCACCACCAGCATCCAACCAAATCTAGCGGATCAACGGCGCATCAACTTAGTTCCTGGTCAGCTCGCAAGTTGATATTATCACGTCCTACACCGTCCATTTGATGGGGGGCCACCTCCCATTTCATCACTCCTCAAACACCCGAGGAGCTGGCAGGCGGATTTGAACCCGGGTCGACTGGATCGACTGGGAGCAGAAGTCAGGCCTTAACTTCTGCCAGCCGCCTGCCATATGTATGTATGTATGTATGTATGTATGTATGTATGTATGTATGTGCGTGCATCTGTACTTCGTGCGCCAACAAATGAAACCCGGGGGGAGGAGAGGAACACGGCGCCAGGAGTCGCCCGGGAAGTGCCAGCGGGGCCCAGGCGGATCCGCGCCCGTGTGTTGTGCCTTTGGGCGGCTCTTGTATCCATGTGCCGTACCCACCCAGGCGCACCCTGAGGCGCTGCACACTGCGCGGGCGCACTTGTTACCCAACCCCAAACCCCGCCCTCCAGCTGTTTCGAACCCTAAGTCCACCCACCCTTGGCGAGACACGCACGCGTGCAGAACACAGACGCGCGCAACCCCCCCGCGTTCTTATCCTCGCGCTGCCCCCCTAAACACCTAAACACATCCTTAACAATGTCCATATATCCCTGATACCAGCTTCTCTCGTCTGTCGTTCGTCTTTTCCCCCTAAGCACACGACACGACACGAGGGGGCAGCCCTGCATGTACGACAACACACGACACGGGCCCCCTCCCAGTGCGCACTCTTTTACCCTTTGCTTCTTCTTCTTCTTTGGATTATATGACGACTTTCCCTCAGTGTAGAAGCAGTTCCCTGCAAATGCTCCCCCCTCCCCCTTCACCTACTGGTCAGTTCTGCTTCTTGTACACTCTTCCCTCCCTGGCAGCAGCTTCACTCCTTCGTGGTTCGTCTTTCCCCCTTCTCACCTCCTCCTCCTCCTCCCCCTCCTCACCTCCTGCAGCCAGGGCATGATGCAGTCCTCGTGAAAGCAGTGGCGGCAGGGCAGCTCCACCACCTCCCCACCCGCCTCGAACGCGTCATGACACACCGTGCAAAGCTCCCCAGGCTGGCAGCTAGCATAGCCACCACCACCACCCCGGTCCTCAGCTGCAACAGCTGCCACACAGGCAGTAGCCGCCGACCCGGCGGCCTCATCAGAAGCAGCAGCCGCAGCAGCACCCGAGCGGCCTGACGGCGGCGCTGATGGCGGCGGAGGTGAAGATCCAGCCGCCTCCAAAGCCACCTCCGTGCCTTCGCTGGGAGCAGCAGCCTCAGCCACGTCTTCCTCGTACACCATATGCAATCTGACGCCCCCGCTGCAGCCATCGCCCCTCGTCTCCGCTGCCACTGCCGGACCTGCCACTGCCACCCGCGCAACGTCATCGAGTTCCAGGGGCTCTAACCGCACCACTACACGTCCGCGCTGCTGTCCAGACTGCTGCAGAGGCCGCTCCAGCTGCGTTTCCCCATTCCGGCCCCCAGGTGGCTCACCACCAGGAGTGACCGCAGCCAGCGGGCCGGCGGGCAGGGTAGCGGTAGGGCCGCTGACGGCAGGGGCGGCTGCCACCGCCGCCGGGGACGAGGGTACGCTTGTGGCGGCCATATGTCGGCGGCTGAAGCTGGCCGCGGAGGCTGCTAGGGCAGCCCTAGCAGCTGCCTCCAGAGCGGCATTGGGCTGTGGGGAGAGGGGTCCCGGCCGCACCCGCCGGCGCGGCAGTGTGTCGCGGACCTCCGGGGCGGTGGCGCGGCGTGGCGGCATGTAGGCGTCCAGCACCCGGGTGACCACGGCGTCCAGGTCGTCCCCCACCACCCAGTCCCCGGGGTTCATAGCGAGGGCGTCACTGGGGGGCAGTGTGAGGGGCAGTGTGAGGGGCAGTGTGAGGGGCAGTGTGAGGGGCAGTGAGAGAGGGGCGGGACTGGACGCAGGAGGTGTTGGGGGAAGGGGGGCTTGCCCAGGTGGGGTAGTTAGGTGGGTACCGGCAGCAAGGGGGGAAAGCATATGGGGGGTGGGGAGGCGGGGAAACAAAGCCAAGGAAACAACTGCCCTGACTTCCAAAGCCGTAGATTGAAGCAATAGAATTTTGGGTGAGTGGTCGTCGGTGGCTGGGTGGCTGGGAGGAGCGGTTGCAGCAGATGTTGGGGAAGAACGCGATTCAGGCGGAGTGTGGGGGTGATGGGGGGTTGGAATGATTAGCGACAGCTTGCCGCCAGGAGCAGGGGAGGGCGGCCGGCAGCTAGACCTTGGTTCCGCAACGCACACAGGGGTCGGGTCCATAAACCTGTGTTACTATACATAACACGTATGTACGTAAATTTTAAACATTCAACATCTGCTGTAGCTCCAGGTAGGGGTCACGTGTCCCACAAAACCCTCTCCTCCCCACCCCCTTCCTCCCTTTCCCGAACTCATTTCCTTTTCGAGACAGGGGGTCCGATCCCCTCTCGGAATTTGCTAGCTCTGGTCCCCGTTGCACACAAGTAGGCGTTACACCACCACCATGGGCCCCGCCACATGCAGGTCGCGCCGCAGCCCCCGCGGTAGTGGACAACAAGCACCCAGGGGGGTCTAGGTGCATTTTCGCTGTCGCAAAGAGGGGCTTACGGGATGTGCCGCTCAAAGAACACATGCTACTGTCAGTGCATCTGCATGTGTTTTTAGAACTCCAATAGTTTAAGAGTGAAGACGCTGTGCGTGCCCCGTCTCTATTCCATGGGATGTCTGTGATGTGATGTGATGTGGGTGGATCGCAAGCACGAGGGTCGCAGCGGACAGGAGAGTGGGCCCAACCCTACCTCACCTCACCCTACCCCGGGCAAAGGGACAGGGAAAGGACCCACCATCTTCATCAACCTGTGTGATGACGATAATCACCATCATCATCATCACCATCACCATCATCATCATCATCACACAAAACCAGTCACACAAAACCCCGTGAGGGCAGTAGTGGAGGAGGAGCGGCCCCTAACCTTTCCCTTATGCTGCCAGGTGAGGTGCGCGTATGCCACCCAATCCCCCACCATCCCTAAACGCAGCGCAAAGGCAACCCAAATCTGAGCTCAACAGCGTCACAACCGTGAACAATACAGCACAGCCACACATGGATTTATATACATGGATATATCTGTCTAGTACGCATGGTATCACGGACTGCAGTGTGCGGCAAATCGTCTGTAGACCTTGCACCCGCTGAGCCTCCTTCCGCAGGTCGCACACATTAGGACCGACCCAAGTGAGAAAACGCGGCAGATCGCCGGCGCGCTTCCCCAAAGTACGCCGGGTTGCTGCCTTCCAATTCGCAGGGGGGTCCTTAAAATCCCCCATGGGGTTCGTGAACTATCCCCTCCATGGATGGTTGGGAGCGAGATGCACCCGAAGTTCAAAGCCGGAAGCTGGACTCACCCGAGCGGGATCCCCATGGTGAAGGGCGATAGGAGGGCGCCATCCTGGACCTGAAGCACAAACGCCTGCCGCCCGTTGGGAAGGCTAAGAGGCGCAAAGCGGCTGATGGCGTCCACGAACGTCAGCGGCATATCGTTCTCGCTGCCAGGGCTGGAATGGAACATGGCATGAACTTCAATCCGCGGAGCCCGCGCCGTGCCCCCGGCACGCGATCCGCCAGCTCCTGAAGTGCTTACACCAGCATCGCCCTGCTGAACATTCCGCGCCGTCGACTGGACGCTATCTGCACCAGCGCTCCCTGCAGGACGGCTGCTGCTCGTACCCTAGGTTGCATCGAGTACAAGGCCCGCGGAGAGGGTCGCTTTAGGAATGTGTCAGGTGTCGGCTTTCAGGAGTGTCGGGCCGGAAACGGGCCACTCTAGACACAAACCTCGCCATACAGATGTGAGCTTAACATAAAATCCAGGCCGAGTAAGAGGCGTTTAAAGAGATATTTGATAAAACACGTATTTCAGCCATGGAAGCTGGGAAATCCTAACTAGAGTGCCTATCTGACAAAGGTCTAGATTTTGCGCGCTTTCCTCGCGTACCTGCTCCACAATTTCCACAAATTCGCTTCCGCATCCAGGGCAGCCTTCACGGCCTCCCCCATTAAATGCAGCCGGAAACACTGACATAGGAAAGACTCCGTTACAAGCATAACAGTTTAATATGGGGGAGCCCGCCGGAGTCGCCCCCGACTGGGGCATTGTGTCTGCGCTTTGGATCGTAGCAACGTTTTCCTTGGCGACTCAAGATAGATAAACAAGCCTTTGTACCGTACTCCCTTATTGTACGCGACTGTTTGGAAAGTTAACCACTCTCTTCTGTTCGTCAACAGTAGGTTCTAGGGCCATCGAAATCTTCTCGTACAGCAATGCACGGCATTTTTGCCGTGCCACGTTGCATCATTACAAGAACCCAAACCCGAAACGGCTAAGTTCGGTGGACTGATGTCGTCAACCTAGAGACACGGACGCCGCAGGGTTTGCGACGCTATGCTGAGGCTTGGCAGCGAAACAGCATTCTGGGAAATCCTGGGAGCTAGTGCCGATAAGCTCATCATAAGCAATTGGCTCCCAAGGGCCCGCAATTTTTTGCCGTTGAAGCGACTGATAATCGTGGCGGGTCCTATGTCTAGGTTGTTCACAACCGCATTTCGGGTAACACACCACAGGCTACTTACAGTGAGATATCTCACTTACTGCGTGCTCACTATTGCGCCTAGGGGAAGTGGAGAGTCATTGAGAGTATGGTATTGGGCTTCGAGTTAATGGTGAGGCTGTGGATCTTGAAGTAGGGGGGGTTAAAGCAAATGTGCTGATTGGGGTTGGGGAAATTGCTACACAGCACCCGCTGGACCGTCAGCTTGTCCTCGGATGGGCCAACACGCACCCCAAGGCACACACCCGAAACGTATCATTGACAGGGTCGGGGGGCCCTACCAAAGCATTACGTACCAGCAGCAGCCTGCTGGAAATGAGGAGGTTTTTGCTCACGGGAGACCTTAGTTCTAAGGTAGCGCAGCTCTGCGATCTTCCTGACACCTCTGTAGACGTAGAAGTTTTGACCTAGTAGTAAGTCACTACTAAGGGGCACATCCCATGGCGCTAATTTGCTGAGGATTGAACGGTCAACGCGTCTGCCTGGTGGAGAGCTAATTTGAGTTACAAGTTCCGCACGAATAGCGAGGTGTCCGTCAAAGCCCGGGCCAAGGACGCTATGAGGGTCTTTCCATTGGCTGGTCGTAAATTTTCGTAGATTCTCCTTAGGGCCGGCCGGGCCCGCCGCACCTCCTTTTTTGGGATTTCTTGCACAAACTGATAATATAGATGTAAACGAATGTGTGTATGTAATTTTGGCAGCGCGAAGTGCCCCATGCGAGAAGTTGCCGGACGGCCAATGGAAATTGTAGCTTAGATGCGGCAGGAGCAAAGCGAGTATAGCCTCTAAGCTAGGTTATGTACGGCAGCCGTATGGCTTGCTGAGAATTCGAATTTACTATTTCAGCTGACAGCTCCAAAGTTCCGGCATTCTGCCTACACTATTGGAGCTTATTATTATTGTTGCTCTCACTTTTTTCCAAGACCTTACCGACTACCCTCAAGCCTCATCGACGCTCTACCACAACGAATCGACATCGCCGCGGACCTGTCACTCTCCGAGGAACAACCAGGAGCTCCGTCACAAATCAAAAAATGACGGGTAAGAGGACAAAGGCAACGGGAGATAACCTGGTCAACGCAGGAGCGGCCGAAGCAGCCGGCGAAGGGGGATCGGGCCAGATGCTGCCAGCCAACCAAAACGACATAGAAGCCGCCAGGGATACTTTGAGCGGGAACATAGACCAGCCGACTCTTCACCAGCTGCTGCTGGGCGTCCTGTCAGCAGCGCAGGCCAACGCCCCCAAAGCGCCGGCCGGGCCCTTCGCACCTCCTTTTTTGGGATTTCTTGCACAAACTGATAATATAGATGTAAACGAATGTGTGTATGTAATTTTGGCAGCGCGAAGTGCCCCATGCGAGAAGTTGCCGGACGGCCAATGGAAATTGTAGCTTAGATGCGGCAGGAGCAAAGCGAGTATAGCCTCTAAGCTAGGTTATGTACGGCAGCCGTATGGCTTGCTGAGAATTCGAATTTACTATTTCAGCTGACAGCTCCAAAGTTCCGGCATTCTGCCTACACTATTGGAGCTTATTATTATTGTTGCTCTCACTTTTTTCCAAGACCTTACCGACTACCCTCAAGCCTCATCGACGCTCTACCACAACGAATCGACATCGCCGCGGACCTGTCACTCTCCGAGGAACAACCAGGAGCTCCGTCACAAATCAAAAAATGACGGGTAAGAGGACAAAGGCAACGGGAGATAACCTGGTCAACGCAGGAGCGGCCGAAGCAGCCGGCGAAGGGGGATCGGGCCAGATGCTGCCAGCCAACCAAAACGACATAGAAGCCGCCAGGGATACTTTGAGCGGGAACATAGACCAGCCGACTCTTCACCAGCTGCTGCTGGGCGTCCTGTCAGCAGCGCAGGCCAACGCCCCCAAAGCGCCGGCCAAGGATCCCCGGACAGCACCGCCTCGGGATCGCTCTCCTGACGTTGTCATCACAAAAGACGTGACCATCATGCCATCCGCAAGAGAGCAGCTAGCAGCAATAAGGACTGAAGTTCAAGCGAACGACGCCCCGAAGCTGACAGCCCCACACGAGCAGCGGGAGCAGCTCGACGAAGGAACGCTAATGCTGCTAGAGACTGCCATCACCGCGCTGGATGCGAACGAACCCCAGCTGGCCGTCGCGGGAGAATGCCTCAAGATCGCTCACCGCCGCCTTAAGTGCTACTCCGTTGCTCTGGCCAAGGCGGGCCCAGGAGCCAACGGTAATTTCACGGCCCCCTACGAAATCTGGCACGGCAGGCGGCGCAACTTCACCAAGCCAGAGTTCAAACCAGAGGCCATAGATAAGGGCGACATAGAGAGTGCATTAGCTAAAACGCGCAAGTCGGTGGCGGCGGACAGGGACGGTCAGGCCGGGTCCCTCTGGCGAGGGAGAGACCGGCAGGGTGGAGTGCGGGATTCGTTTGGTAGTGCACGCCGGAACGACCGCAGCCGCTATGACCGCTACGACCGGCGCAGCCAGCGCGACCGAAGCCGCTCTCGCAGCCCGGCTAAGCGTGGCTGATTAGGATTCTGTTGGGCCTTGTGTTTGCTCGACTCTGGCACGGCACCGATCCTACCCCCCTCCTTTTTTCTTAAGCTCGCTCAGTGGCCCCTCCGTGCAGTTCGCGGTCGTTGTTGTTGCAGGGGCCCACAAGTCCGACAAACATTATTGGGTTGGAACGGAGTATGCTTTGGCCCAGTCTTTGACAAGACTTGTTATGCTAAGTTGCACATCCGGTCTCTTCCAGACCTTCCACCGCTAGAAGATGTCGGACCAAGTTGTACCCTGGAGGGAGGTTTCTTTGTAACGCGCGCGAGCTCTTGCCCTTGGTGGCGCCTGTGATTGGCCTTGGGGCCTTATTGCCGTGTTGGCTCGGTCCTGTTGACCATGGCGGCTTCCAGGCCCAGGTGGCCGGCTTCAGGCTGGACCTGTCCTTCCTCCGTCCGAGTTTCCCTCTTCATGCATGTACCCAACAACGACAGAGAGGCATCAAACAGGTCGATGGCTCTGGTGGCCCCGTCCCCTGCGGCGCAGGTCGCCCCGGAGTAGCCTGTTCGGTTTTTTCTGTCATCCCAGGAGGGCCGGCTTCCCACCGTTTCGTAGCCTCAGTCGCCATGAGCCCCGGCCTCTACTCATCTTCCCCTCTTTTATCTCTTGTCTCTTGCAATGCAGAGAATTTGGCCGCCACAGTACTGGGCGCACTGCTCGTTGCCGCGGGTTTTAGAGCCCCTCGCCCCGCGCAGCCCCCCCCTGCCCAACGAGACAACACACAAGCGGAGACCAAGAACACCGCCAAGCGTCCCGCACCCGGCCCTGCAGAGCCCACCCGGCCCCGGACCAAGGTCGCCCGCAAAGCCCAGGAACCACATCCAGACCCAGGAGCCCCTTCGAGGAATGAACAAGCGGTCCCAGAAGGTGAGAACCCAGCACCTTTGCCTGTTGATCCGCCTTGTGAAGCCACACCTCCTAGCATGGGTAGCAAGGATAGGCCTAAGATGCGGGGGCGCTTGAGAGCCTGTGCCGCGGTCTGGAAGGCGACAGTGGTGAACCAGCTCGTGCTGAGCTGGGTCCTGCAAGGGTTCCCTCCGATGTGGCACTCAGGACCTCCCCCCCGGCCGTACTGGGGCAAGAATCACCAATCTGCACGGGACCACGGGGATTTTGTGTCTTCTGCCATCGAGGGTTTGCTGGAGTCAGAGACCATCAAACCTTGCCAGTCCCGCCCTTTCATGACCTGTCCCTTGGGTGTCGTAGAGCAGAAAGGCAAGCTCCGCCTCATCTGGGATGGACGCGAAGTCAATAAGCACCTGCACATCCCGGAGTTCCGTTATGAGTCGCTCGTGCAGGTCCCAGGCTGGCTAGGCCCCAAGGACTACATGTTCACCCTGGACCTGAAGTCTGGCTACCACCATATGGACGTACGCGAAGCAGACTGGCGCTACCTTGGTTTTGAATGGCAAGGCCAGTTCTACGTCTTTACACAACTCCCTTTCGGCCTTGCCTCCGCCTGTTGGGCATTCACCAAGCTAACACGCGAGATCATGCGGACTTGGAGACGGAAGGGCTGGCGGTGCTCAGGATACATCGATGATCAGATCCATGCCCACCAGGACGCCCAGACCCTCATCGCCCGCCGCACCATAATCCTCGACCTCCTCGAGCGCCTGGGGTTCTGCGTGAACCGTGACAAGTCAATGATGGGCGAGCCCCAGCAGCAAGTGAGGTACCTGGGTATGCTGTTAGATACAGCTAAGGGCGTGTACATCGTGCCTGAAGATAAGCGCACTTTCCTGCTCGACTGCATCCGCTCGGCTCTGGGAAAACGGCGCATCAAGGCGAGACATTTGGCCTCCATAAAAGGGCAGCTTCTGTCCATGTCCTGGGCGTTCGGGCAAGTAGCCCGCCTTACACCCGGGCTCTGGGGCAGGATATGAGTCGCG